TGAATGGTTCTTCTTGGAAAGGGATTCTGGGAGGCCAAAAATTCCCCTACAGATCTACATTTAAATAAGCTGAGAATCCCAAGCAGGGCTAGGGAGGACTGGCCAGGGCAGCTGCCAGGATCTCAGAGGAGAAACCAAAAGGACCTCGTGATTCTTACACAGAAAGTAGAGAATTATAGTCTTCTCTGGAGCAGTGACCCTTGGTGGGAAAACTGAGTAAATGCACACTGGGAAAGGCTAGTTACAATGCCCAGTGCTGGAGTAGAGAAAAAGCATGGCTAAGGTAGCGCAGCCTGGGCACCACAGAGCCAGCCGTGGGGAAGTGTAGAGATGGGCTCTGCCAGCTCCAGGCAGGAGCTGGTAAGGGAATTCCCAAATGCAAACCTTTGGCAAAGGAGTCGGAAGGAGGTGAGCATCAGACCATTGGGCAAAGGAGAGGTCAGAATGTGCAGAAATGTGGACAGGAAAGAGGACATGAGGGGCTGGGACTCTGGGACTGGAGAAAACAGGGCAAGGAATCAGGATCAGGAAGAGATGAGCATCCATCAAGGTGAAGGGTGGGACCTGGCCTTATTCATCACCATTCCTCCCTTCTTGAGCACAGCTCTGGCTGGTGAATGAGTCCCCCAGGGCCAAGGGCGGAGCAAACTTCAACATCCCCTACCGGATCTGCTGTAGTCTGAAAACCTGAACTTTTGTACAGTTCCCTTCTTGAGCCTTGGTGGATTTTATTTTTCCTTACTCTCCCCAGAAGAAGCCATCTGCTCGAAAACCAAAGAAAGGCTGTTTCAGTGGATGTGGGGCACTTTCTCTCAAATCAGAAGGTCTCTGTGGCAAGAGGAATGACTGCCAGGGGTGTCTCTTAACGATGTGTTTAGGGTACAAGGTCTCAAAATATGCAGGGAACGGCCATCACACAGTGTTCCTCGTCATTGTGAGATGTACACATGGCCTTGTCCTATGAGGAATAGGTCCTCCCTCATCTGGCCTGAGGTAGATGCTGTGGCCCAAGTCTCAGGATGCCCCAGTCTTTTGAAGGGTTCTGGAGATGGAGAGGACGGGGTCTTCTACTCTGGGTCTGAGGGAGGGGCCAGTTGGAGGGGCTCAGGTGACATGGTGGATAATGCAAGGGTGGAGACAGAAGGCCAGGGGCCCCTCGAGCAGTGTTTTGTAAGCGACTAAAGGAGGGGAGGCCTGAGGCCCCAGGCTCAGTGTGAGGAAATGGCTGGGGGAACCCAGCTGGCAGAGGTGGTGCACGGAGTCTTCCTTGCTGATCCTGCTGAGAAGGGAAAGGGAGGGGCATCTGATATTCCTCTCCAGCAGCACAGCCCTTGCCCCTCATTCCATCCATTCCTGCCCCTACTACTCACTGAGGCAGAGGTAGCATCGCTTGGTGTTGCAATGCTAACCAATTCTCCCTGCTGCCCCCTCGGCATGAGTGGGCCTGGTTCCCTTACCAGAGTGAGTTGCACAAGACAAGAGTGGAGCTCCCGGGCTGCGTCAGGCTGGGATCCGCCTCTCAGAGTCTCCTGGAACACAGCTGCTGCCTCCTCGAAGCGCTATGGTCCCAGAGGGATTAGAAAGAGGAAAGTTTAGGTATCGAACTGGCCCCAGCTTCTAGTACTACTAACATTGTGATGTGGTATTAAGAGTTCACCTAGAAAATGTCAGTGTGGACCTAATCCTCACCCCATCCCACCCAAATTCCTCCTATGCTTCCAATATCAGACCCATTACCTGCAGTCCCATCAGGGCCTTGCCCAGGCGGAAGAGTCCCCGGGGCCAGCCAGGCTGCAGGGTAAGGGCCACCTGAGCATCGGCCAGGGCCCGCACCGGCTGACCCATCCGCTCATGGCAAAAAGAGCGATTTCCAAATAACCTGATGAAAACAGAGTGACCAAAAGTCCGGGTCCTCAACACCTTGCCTTGCCCTGACCTCCCAGCACAGTGGCCAAGCCCCACCTACCGGTGGTCCTGGGGGTTGAGCTTCAAAGCTTGGGTGAAGAGGACTACAGCCTCGTGGTAGAAACCATTTCGGGCAAAATCGGTACCCAGCTCTGAAGAGGACAGAGGGTGGGAAGGTTCATATGGGGCTACCCAGGGAGGGTAGGGCAAGGAGAGAGAGAGAAAGAATCTCACTTGCTAGCTCCTGGCTCTGCTGTAAGGCAGCTGTCAGCAGTTCCGGAGGTGCCTAGGGACAGGGAGAAAAGTCAAACAGGATCCAAGGCCTCAGCCTCCTCAAACCCTTTTTCTTTGCTCAGATAATTAACATTACAGTTAGTATCACCCAACTCATGTAGTCCTCATGACAGCTCTGAAAGATGGTTATCAACTCTACCTTCCTGCAGAGGAAACCAGCCAAGGGTCGGGGTGACAGTGATGCATCTTCACCTCAGGTCTCTCAATCCTGGGGCCAGAGAACTCCTACTGCTCACTGCCCTCAACTCTTAGGTCCTATGACTTCCCAGAGACCTCTGGCACCCCTTTCGCTGATTCCAGCTGAGGTTCTTCTCCCCACCTTACCTCTGCCTTAGGACTCTGCCTGGGGCTCTCTTTTCTTGGAGAGCTCCCTTCCTCCTGGCCCATCTTCTCCTGGGGGCCCAGGCTCTTGCCTTGGGGCTCCTGGCTCAGTTCCTTCTCTCTGAGGGCACCGTGGGGCCAATCCCCAACCTTGCGCAAAGCCAGAGACACGAAAGTACTGGATAGATCCAGTAGGTCCTGTGAGCAGAAAGAAAAGGTAGGGAGGGGGTGGGGATGAAGTATGTCCAGGAGCAGGGGAAGGAGGGTGTGGGCAGAGACCAAGAAGGGAAGGAAGGGGCCTCTCACCTCTTCCTCACCACACTGTCCCTGAGCTGGGTTCCCAGGGCTGGATGGGGGGCTCCCATCCCCATCTGGGGTGGCCTCGGCCTGGAGGGAAAGTGGACAGGTACAGAGTTGAGATGGCCTTGAGCAGCCTGTCTTCTCAGCCTCCCCCTTCCTGGCATTTGGTGCTCTTAGTACTCACCTTGGGCTCCCCACCGTCCTGCTCCAAGCGCTCTTGCCGCTTTCGGTCCTTTTGGCGCTGCAATAATAATGAGGAGGATGTGTTCTGGGCACTATACTTAAATACACATGCACACACACACTTTGTATCTTGAGACCAATTCTTCATCTGTATAATATATACTCTACATCATGTACTGAGCTAAGAGTTTTGCATACACTATCTCATTTAATTCTTAAAACTCTATGAGGTAGGTGGTGTTACTCTCATTTTACAAGTGAAAAAGCAAACAAGAGAGTCACCAGGCAGATGTCTCAGAGTAAGAAGGAGGCGGATTCCAACCCAGCAGTATTGTGTGATCCTGGAACTGCTGCACCACATGGCCTCTGGGAGACCCTCCAGTCCTTGAGTATCTTGGGTTCCCCCAACAAGAGGATCCACTGCAGGCCACCTTGAGTTCTCTCTTGTTCTCGCTTTTCCCTCTCCTAAATTCCTCTGAGCTCTCGCTCCTTCTGCCCTCCAGCTACCTTCTTCTTGAGTCGCTTCTTCTCTGCTTTCTGTTTCATGCGCTCCTCCTCAGCCACCAGTTCCTCAGCCAGGCGGTTGGCTTCCTGGAGGAGGAAAGGCAGGTGACAGGAAAAGAGAAAGAGAAAGCAAAAGGGAGACAAGCACTATGAAAGCACCTTAAAAGATCCAGATTAGGGGAGAATATAGATATGGGAATCTGAGGGTGGGAAGAATCCTGGGGGAGGTGAAGCCTCTTGCAAACAGTCTCACCTCTTCAGTCACCAGGAGCTTCTGGGGCATGGCCACCTGAAGCAGGCTGTCTGAGCCACTGGGAAAGGATGCCGAGGCAGGGGGTCTTTGAGGGCAGGACTTAGACCCTTGGGGAGGGTACAGGAAGGACTTTTGGAGACTGCAGTAGGTACCCAGTCCCTTGGCCCCCTCCTTGTCCCTGTCACTCTGTCTAGCAGCTTTCCCCTCATCACAGAAATGGTCCAGGAGGTAATCTGTCAGGAGGGAGAAACAGAAGGAAAAGAAAGAAGAACATGAGAGAGAGAAGCATCTGAGGGCTAGCCCTCCCCAGGGTACCAGCCTCGATCCCTGGGCCCGGCCCCTGCACTCCCCACCATGGTGCCACAGCTGCAGCCGCCCGCTGCTCCCATCCACATGGATCCGGTGCAGGCCCTGGGGATCACTCTCCACAAGCCGTCGAAGAAAATCCACTATGTCCTGGGAGGGGGAGGGGAGGGGAGGCTGGTGTTGGGGGGAGCTCGGGGAGAGAGCAAGGGGCTTGGCTGGGTTGAGCCCTCCACTATGACAACCACAAACCAGCCACCTAGCCTGGAAAACCTTACTGGCCGACCTCGCCAGTCAGCACCTCAAACACGCTGTTCCCAGTTTTCATGGTATGTATCATCTCCCTTCACTACTGCCCAGTCTTCTCAAAGGTTGAGTGTGGTGTTCAGCCCAGTCTTCTCTACTGCCCAGGATCTCCTCCCCTTGACTTGCCGCTAGGTCAGTCACACTGAAGCCCCTAAAATGGAGCCCCCTTACCTGATCTTCCAGCTATGTCCCCTGTCATATCCTTGAATATGAAAGCCCCCATATAGCAGCTACCTCACATTTATACGAGTATAGCAGTTCATGGCTGGCTTCTCCCCTGCGCTTCATCTGTTTCTCCCCTAGACCGAGCTCTCAACAATTACTCCCTTACTCAAAAACTTCCAGTAATCTCCCACTGCCAGGGCCACAGGCAGAATCAAATCTAGCTCCCTAGCCTGGGATTTGGAGCCTTTTAAAAAGCTTCCCAGCTGACCTTTCCAATCTTTCCTTGCAATCCTCCCCTGCCATTCTCCCTCTGCCATCAGGCTTCTTCCAGACCTTGGGGTCTTCCCCCAGCAGTCCTAGAAGCTCTCCTGGCTCTGAGCTTCTTTCTCGCCACGTCTTGTCTCACCTTCAAGGTCCAATTCCAATTCCAATTCTATCTCCTCTTTCATCTCCAATTATCTCTACACTCTCTCAACAAAGCTGTGTTCACATAGTTCGTTTTATATAATTTAGAGCCTTACCATTCATTGCTTTTTATCGGTCTCTTATTTGGTGAGGCAGCATTGAACCGGAAAGAGCACTGCGCTGGAGTAGAGCTGCTTGCATCCTAGTTCTACTTAAGCCACTGCCTTGCTGTTTGATTTTGGACAAGTCATTTAACCTCTCTGGATCTCAGCTTTCTCATCACAAAATGAGGCAAAACTCTTCAAGGCCTGGCCCATACATTCTGTGGTTCTGATGAGAATCGCTTCCTCAGTTGGTATAAACTAAAGGGGACAGGAATCATCACTTCCCTATGTGGCCTAATCAGGCCTAAACAGAGCAGACCTCAACTAGGTGGTAGCCCACTGACTGAGAAACTTAGAAGCCACATGAAACTCCAAAGTTCTAAAATAATGCATAGGCAGGACTTTAGATCAGTGAGGTAGGTATAGTCAACCTTCTAAACAATTGTAGATCCAGAGCTCCCCTTAGGAGATAGTCCTGACTCAACAGCATCTTCATTTACATTGTTAGGCATTTTCATCAAGTTTTAGTCTCAAATTCAACTTCCTAACTGGAACTCAAGCATAAATAATGCATGCTCTGGACGCGTTTTAGGCAGCCTCCTCAGAATGTGCCACTCAAATATATAATGTCTTTCACTATATCTCCAATCTCTCTCTTCCTACTCAGTCCAGAAAAAAAAAAAAAAAAAAAAAAAAAAGACTCCATCCCAAATATAGTCTATGCTGCTCTCTTAATTCACTACATACATGACCTGGCCCCCCAAAACCTTCACGAATCATTTCCTACCCTCTTGTCGCCCTCCTCCAGCTACTGTGGTCTCCTTTGAAGTTCCTACAACACATCTAACATCTCGGGGCTGCTGTACTTATTTCCTCCTCCTGGAATGCTCTTTCTGCAGTAAATGGCTCAATCCTTTGTCCCTTTCGGATTCTCTACTTAAATCTTCTTCGGGAGGCCTTCTCTGACCACTCCTTTTAAAACGAGAACTCTCTCAACTCCATGCAGTGCTCCCTAACCTCTTTCTTGCTTTTCCTGTGCACTTCTCATATTCGACATACTATATTTTTTATTTGACTGGCTGCCCCCACTAGCTACTTCTAAACCATTTAATAAAGGGATTTTGTCTGTTTAATTTACTGCCTTCCCAGCCTAAATCAGTGCCGGTTGGTTGGGGCTCAATGACTGTGTGCTGAATAAACAAAGGCAGAGAGGTTGGTGAGTAGGCTATTCTAATAGAGATGCAGCCAGGAGCTGTACTTGAAGAACTATGTGACCCAGTGAATTTGAAATTTATCCTGTTAGTGATGGGAGTGGACCTGATCTGGGGAGTGAAACACTCAAATAAAATAGTACTGGGGAAGTCTCGGGGTGGGATGTTTAGTTAGATGGCCCTTACAACTGTTCAGGCCAGAGAGAATGAGTTCTTGAACTAAGGCAGTGGCAACTTTGGAAATGATGGGTTTGATTCAAAAGACATTTCAGATGTAGATTTTAGTAACTACTTCTGCGAGGTAAATGTGTGAGGTAAAGGAAAGGGATTGATAGAACAACTCTCAGATTTCTGGATTAAGCAACTGAACAGAAGTTTGTGTTATTTACCAAAACTAAGATTAGAAGAAAAGCAACCAATTTGTAAATATGAATTAACTTCTGGACTTGTGAGTTTAAGGTTTTAGAGATAACCTAGAAGCAGTTGGAAGTATAGTTTCTCAGTGCTCCCGAATATGATCCTGTTCCTCCCTCAATAACCCTATCACCTACCTGGGGACATCCAAACCCCGGTGTTGGGCGAGGCCTCTCAAGCCACTTGCTGCCTTCTTTCCCACCTCACCCAACCAAACTCTCCACTCAGGTCTGATGTCAATGAAGTTCTTTTAACTTTTCCTTGCCTTAGTGTCTTTGCTCACAGCGCTCCCTCCGTTAATAGTAACTTTCCCCCAAGGAACTCCTACCCACTAGAGTCTCTGGGTTGAGATCTAGAGACCCTAGTCTGCCCAACCTTGCCCACTTCAGGCTTTTATCCTGGCAGCGTCATCCCAGGTCTCCGCGCCCCCCGCCTCCCACTTGCCGTGCGCTCCTCGAGGGCAGGGCCCGAGGCAACGCCTCTCCAGAGCCGCTAGAGCCCAGCGCGGAGCCGGGCCGAGGCTGGGCTCAGTACAGCGGTTGAAAAGAGGCGTGACCGACTTAAACAGGGCGAGGGGGGAGCTAGGAATCCCTTTTTACCTCTTCGCCGTAGTCCTCAGGACCGAATTCTTTGCAGAGTTTGGGGATAGCAGCCACTCCCGGCGGGCAGCCAGGCCTCAGAGGACAGTCTACAGGAAAGGAAAGCCACAGCGAGTCAGGAGGACTAAGGATGGATTGACGGGAGCCCTCTGTCCACCGCATGAAGCTCAAAATCCTACTGCAAACAGATAGACCCAAGTGGGGTCGCACCAACCCTCCTGGACCCACTCCTGCCCTGTCACACCTGCTCACCTAGATTGATCCGCCTCACTACCTTGGGAATCGGCGCCATCTCCCGTCCGCAGTGACCCGAAAGTGAAAGATAATCTAGTATTTGATGTCTGCCGAGGGGAGGGGTAGGGCAGAGTAGGCAGCCATCTTTGTTAGGGGCAGAAGCCTCCGCCTACGGAGCGCGAGAGCGTCCAGGAGGGTCCCTGCGCCTCCCCGGCCAAAGATGACGGCTCTTAGGGGTAGGGCGGAGTCCGGGCTACGGCAGGCGTTGGGCGGTGCGGGTAAGTAGGAATCGTTAGGTTCGTTCAGGACACGTCGCCCTATGGCCAAGGCATCTCGATCGGGTGGCCTTCTGCCTCCGCTCGCTCCCGTGTCGCCGTCGTGGGCGCAAGCCGGAGGCGCTGGTGAGGAGCAGTGGGAGAGAAGGCGGGCGGGCGCTGTCGGCTGGGACGTTCGTGGCTGGCCTGCGCTGTCGGTTGCCGGGAGCATCCCTTGCTCGGACCCACGGCCTGGAGGAGCTCCGGGAAGGCAGTCGCGGTGGGAGGCGCCGGCGGACGCGGGAGAGCACCACGAGGCTAGAGCTGCGGACTGGAGGCAGGAGGTCGCCGCCGGCGGCCCGATCCCCGCTGCACTGCAGCGTCTCCGGGCGGTGTTGCTGCGGCTGCACCGTGAGCGGGAGCAGCTCCTCCAAGCCCGGGACTGCGCCCGCCACCTACAGGCGGCCGTGCGCCTCCTGAGTATACTGAGTCCCGGCGCGCAGCCCCCCTGCCCGGTCCCCTTGCCTCCGCTGTGCCGCGACCTGCTGCTGCAGCCTTCTGGAGGGGCGGTCCTGAAAATCGGCCATCGGGAGACTCCCGAGCCACTACTCCTTACTCGCTCCATTGGACTAGCAGCCCAGCGCCTGCATGCTGTCATCGAGATGCAGCTCCGTGCTCTGGGCCGGGCGCCCGCCAGCCCCAACCTATCATCCCAACTCGCCGACCTGCTGCTGGCGCTTCCGGCCTATCATCAGCTGCAGGAAAAAGCCTTGAGCAATGTCCCAGGGGCAGCGCGCCCTTTTCCCCCAGCCCGTGTGCTCTGCCTCCTGACTGGGGAGCGGGGTTGCCAGGTGGCAGGTCGCCTAGATGAGGCACTCAGGGGATCAGGCTTGGGGGATCAGCTCCGCAGGAAGTGTTGTGAGGAGCGGGAGCTGCTGCCAGGGCTCCTGGGCCTGATGGGGAGCGTGGCGGATTCAGCCAGCAGTAGACTGGAGCTTGGGGAGGCTGGAGCCCTGTGGAACCAATACTGGACCCTGCTGTGGGCGGCCTGTGCTCAGAGTCTGGACCTAAGTCTAGGACCTTGGAGGGACCCCAGGGTAGCAGCACAACAGCTGAGTCAGGCACTGGATCAGGGTGAGTGATGGGTTTTGGTGGGCATTTGGGAAGGCTTCTCCCTAGTCGCCTTACTTACCTGCCAGCCTGACTACGAAAGCAGGCCCTTTAAAATGAACACCCCTCCCTCACCTCCCCCTACCCTCACTCTGGTTTAGGCTATACCTTCTGAACCTTCAAGGCAAAGTTTTGCTTTCCATCCCAGTCTTCAGTCTTGGGGGCGGGTGGGTGGGTGGGAATGCCTCCACTCTTACCCATCACTGAGTGGGCATTGGTTGTGGAAAATTAAAGCCTTGTTTGCAGGCTCCAGGGTCATTTCTCCCATTAGCATCCCTGCCTCAGGAGTGTGAGAAGGAGCTGGCTTCTTTATGTCACAGTTTACTTCATCAGTCTCTTATCCGGAACTGGGACCAAGGTGAGAAGGAAGGGGCACTGGGAGTGACAAGCCTCAGGTTGCCCCTTCCCTATCAAACCATAGCCCTCTCATCCTCAGGCTTCTGCCAGGCCTTGGGAACTGCTAGTGACCAGAGCAGCTTTTCCTCATCCTCTCATACCACTGAACTTCTGCAACAGCTCTTCCCTCCTCTCTTGGATGCCCTTCAAGAACCCAAGTCAGGGTTGCTCTGTCAGCTTCCAGGTGAGATAAGGGGCTGAGGTTGGGGAAACAGAATGGTTGAGCCTATCTCCTTTATTCCTTCGCTGTTCTGAAGCCCGCCTCCTCCCAAAGGTGCTCCATGACCGCTTGGATACTTGTCTCTCCCCTCCCCAGGTCCTGCACCCCTTGCCCTGGGGCTCTCCACTCTGCAGACATCCTTACTCTGGTTTGGGGGCAGAGCTCAGCAATATCTGGCAGCATGGGCCCCAGGTTCCTTCCTGCGCCTGATTCAGAAGGACTTACCTGTGAGTAGCTAGGGATGGGGAGGGAAGCAGCCTAGGCTGGGCTCAGACCTCACTCCCTATTTTTGCCAAAGCCTCTACTGCGTGAGGCAGAAGCTCTGTCTAGCCTAGCTTCAGAGGAAAGCTTGACCCTGGAGGTGGAGCAGCAGCTGGGCCTGGAGATACGGAAGCTGACAACACAGATCCAGGTGAGGAGAGTGGGGACCTTGACAATGGTCAGCTTTGGAGCTGGTGGTGGTGAGGGGCGGTGTGTGTGTCGCAGAACATCTCAGTGACCTGGAATCTTCTTGGAGTCTCTGTTAAATTTACCTTTCTTGCTTTGCCCATTTTTTGTTATTATGGAAAATTTCAAACATTTACAAAAATAGAAGAGTATAAATGGACTCCATATTCCCACCATGGAGGCTTTAACAATGGTCAACTCATGGTCAATTTTGTTTCATCTATATATTCCACCCCACCCCCCATGTCAAGTTCTGATTTTGTCATGTTAACAGCCACCGGTTTTTATTGCCTAGATCCACGATTTCATTAGAGGGTGCAAAGTGGTGATTTTCCAATTCTATCATTCCTTTTTCATTTATTATTTGGATTACTCATAAAGTGAAACTTGCCTTCATTAATTATTTGGCTGCTCTGAGGTTTATTTTGTAGAAAAAAAGTAAGATAAAGGATTGAATACTATTATTTACTACTTTTCAATACGTTTCCTTTCTTTTTTAAACATGTAATTTGTATTATTATTAAGGTAATACATATCCATAGTTTAAAAGTGAAATAGAATATTATTTTAGAAGGCTTCTAATGAAAAAATAGCACTTTATATAATTGCCCCCCACTGCTACCATCGATTCCTGTTCCACAATGGTAACCTTCATTCACTCTTGGCTGTTTCTTCTAACATTTCTTATTTTCTTCTGCTATATTAATTTCTGCTATATTAATTTTTCCCCATTTTGCACATTATCTATTCCTACTAGGAAAGATGTCTGTTTTTTATTTTCTCTTCCTACCCAAATTTCTCCTTTGCCCTGAATAAGGGCATAGCTGTGGTGTTCAGTCC